CCCATGTGACAGAGTAGAACTGCCCCACAGGGTCTTCTAGGCTGTAATCTTTACGGGAGCAGACCATCAGGTCTTTCTCCCACAGAGCTGTTGGGTGGATTCAAACCACCAACCTTTTGGTTAGCAGCCAAGCGCTTAACCGTTGCACTACCAGGGCTCCTTAAAGTAAAATTCGAACAGTTTACATCTTGGAAAAAAATCAAACCTACTCCTAGAACCCAAGATTGCCCACACGAGCACCATGTTGAACAAATGTGAATGAATCCTGGACATTAGAACCTGAAGGCAGGGCCAGGTTTTCAAAGTTTAATGAGCCTAAATACCACCTGGAAGGGATTTTAAAATGCAGATGTACACGCCCCACCCACTGAGATCTTAATTCCCTAGGCTTGGGGCCAGGCCAGGATATCTCCATTTTAAACAGGCACCCAGGGGATTTTCATGAAACAGGACATTTTTAGCGGAAATGTATTGTTTAGGAGAGCTATAATGCCTTTGTTAAACTTAAAACAGGTGTCACGATTCTGTTACTCAGAGAAGCTGCCAAAAATAGTTGAAAACATTCCAGGATAATTAAATCAGGATCGAATTTCAGAGCCATGGAAAAGAGCCATCTCCAATAACGGACATCGCACAGTCCCTAGGTTTGAATACTGCATCCGACAACACCAACGTATCAGGGTGCTTCACTTCTGGATTATTAATTACACATTTTACAGCACAACTTAAAATGAGCCCTTTAATCTAGGAAGCTCATTCAAGAAAATTTAATTATGTATTTTAAAAATATTTCTGAACAAATAAAACACTGATATAAAAACTATTTTGGTCTGTGGGTCACTGTACTGTAAAGCATTTTTCTATTTGGAAAAACTGAATCCAATCAGCAATCAGCATCTTATATATATATATGTAGTCAACATGTCCAAAAACTTAGACTTTACTTATTGCTTAAAACTTTTTTCTCAGGTTAAAGGATTTTTTTTAACTTGTATACAAAATACAAAAGATTCCAGAAAATATAGATTTATCATCATCAAATTCTCACAAGAATACAAAATCTAAAACATAGTTTATTAAG